CCCTCAGCATTTTTCTTCTTCTTTCTGCTTCACTCTGAAGGGCGACGGCACACTATGAAAGCCCAAATAGCGTGTTACTGCTCTGCCACGGGTTCAAGGAGATTGGATCACTTTTTTGTTTGTGGAGCAGCCTCAATTCAGCTTCCACATAAAGAGTGGGAGACTCAGAGAGGGACTGAGAGAGAGCAGTCTTTGTGGGGTTGAAGGAAAGGGGTGGATGAAAAATTTCCTCGGTGCATCAGTTTTCTCTGATCCCAACTGGAGACATAAATGTATCCGAGAGATGAGCTATCTGTGCCACAAGCAGGGCCTTTTCTTCCCTCTGTCCCTATGATGAGTTAGCAGGACCTGCAGTGATAAAGCTGATAGAAGGGGCCGCTATCAGGTGGCAGTCTGGGTAATTACAACTCTCTATTTGGGGGCTTTGCAGTGATGCTGCGGCGATAAGGGGAGTATAATGAGGAAGAAAGGCCTGCGATAATGTATCCTCTAAATGGTTCAAAATAGTCTATCATGGGAAAAGTCATCTACAGAGCCTGGAGGGGGAACACAGGGCGATGTGACAAAAGTGTGTGTAAGCTCAAAACACACACGCCCTGCGGGAGGTTACAGAAATCAGAGTTCAAAAATCTGACTTTTTTTTTTTTTCTCAGAAAAGGTGGGATTTTTTTAATGATCCAGTAAGTCGTTTGATTGCGGCTGCTATTTTGTTTGCCCCTCAGGCTGTCGGGAGATATTCTGCAGTGTGAGATTACACATAATACTTTGACAAGCAGCGGTTTAAAAGATGAAGGTCTTATCACCCTGGCGGACTCTGCGTCCTTCTGTGGAAGCCTTTTCTCCCTCTATAATGTGCTTTCAAACTTTGTTGTATCTGTCAGTTCAGGTCCTCGAAGATTGAACTGACAATCACTCCTCTTCTTCCTACCTCTTTACCATCATACACACACACACACACACACACACACACACACACACACACACTCTATCCTCAGGGCCATTTGCCTGTTTCCTCTCCCCAGTCTTTAACACACTGTAGTGTGCTTTCTGTCTTGTATGGCTGTTTTATTGTGAATTACAGATTCCCTTGCCGCGGATCATGACCACTATCAATAGTATTTCCACTAATGTGATTAAGTTAATACTGTGCTCTATGAGAGGATTATTTCTCAATTCCTCTTGATATGCGTAATATTTAGGTTGTGGTTGAGTAAATATTTTGGTTCTCCACCAGTATAATTCCCACTGAGACAAAGACACGAAAGTCTGCCCTAAGGAGCAATAAAGACTGTATAATTAGAATGATTAAAGAACTGCACAACTAATTTGGCACTTATTGAATATATTTAGAGAACACAACGTGCAAAATAGGTCACATATTTAAACCACAAAAAAAATATTAACTTTATTCACATTAATTATGTGTATTCAAATGTTCTGTGAGACTCATTGGGATGGAGGCTGAAGTGGCCATTGTCTCCAAACCAATCCAATCATTATGTTTCCCTGCACTTAAGCATGTTTTCTACATATTGTAGGCGCTGTAAAGAAACCTCATTAGACAAAATGACTTCTAATCTAAATGCAATCATCTTTAAATAGTAATCAATTGGATCCCTAAACTGTTTGTCATTTGCACTTTATCAAAGGCCCACTTAAGATAAGATTCTGCAGCTAATGGCTTTTGATGGTGACAAATTGACTTTCAATACTCGCCAAATCATGCAGGAAACTCTTGTCCTTTGATGTGTGGAGCATGTTTGCTTTGCTACAAAATGTGTTTACAATTTTTTTTTTTTTTTTGTGGCCATAATCAGTCATTTATTTTCTATGCACACCTTTCTGCTAGTGGAATTTATTGCAGCCTTTTAGAAAAGGCCTAAATGATGAAAAGAGTGAACTGAAAATAAACAGTAATTATGTTTGGAACAATAATACATTTCCCTTCCTGAAAGCTTTAGTGTTTTCATATCCGTCATGCCTTTAATTGGGTTTTTAGCAAAACTAATGAAATATTTTGCTCCAGATTTGTGCTGTTTATCAGCAGCGTAAACCCTTAATCTGAAAATCAGCTGTAAAAAGTGGAGCAATTGGCGTCTTCATATAAGGATTAATGAAAATGAAAGCTTTTCATTTAACGTCCATTTACCAGTTTGATTTTTTTGTGAGCGTTGGCTCGGCCTGCATGGGAGCAGATTTATATAAATATATAAAGCTGAAACGGAATAAAGGGGGAAGATCCGGGCTGAACTGTGATCAGACAGGCAGAAAGGAAACCACATCAGGTACACAATCAGGACCCCTCCCTCTTGCGTTTCTTCAAACCTCCCTGATAATGAGGAAACTTTTCATGTGGCTGTAAACTCTGTTGTGTTTGAAGTGGCAAACAGAAGATATGTTTTGTTTATCCAGCTTAAGTTAAAAGATCTGATAGCAAGAGGTCAACTTGAACTAGATTTATTTAAAGACTTGATTTCCCTCCCTCCGCCTCCTATGGAGCCACTTTTGGAGAATAACAGTAAATATTTTGGGAGGTAAAGTACACATCCTACAGTATTCTTTACACATGAGGGCTTTTTATGCAAACTGGGATTATCCTCATCAAGCCTCTCTATAATTTGTTGTGCTTTTCTCCCAGAGTTAGTGGAGTGTGAGCAGAATAAAGTGTTTGCTGCTATCATGAAGATCCCTGCACCTCTGGGGGCTCCTATATTTCAGAGTGATGGCTTTAGCACTTTAGAGTGAACTGTGTGCGATCTCTCCTGGTAAGGAAAAATGTCCCCATGGGCTTGTTGTTGCTACTGCTGCTGTCTGCCTTCTATATTTGCATGATATTTTTCTATTCAGTCTTATCATCAGTGTGCTGTGAGGTGGGAGTGCTGGCTCCGTCTCAGAGGCTGGACCCGGGCTTTATCGGCAGGTAATTCTCCCACTCTCACTAACTCATCTTGAATTATTTAAGTGTTATTTCCAGCAGCCTGGCTGAGGTAAAAGAGAGGGGGAACACAGTGTAGATTGTTTTTGTGTATTTTTATTTTATCAGATCTTTATTTAATTACTAAATAAAATAAAAAAATAAAAAAAACGTTTTCTCACTTTGCATAAAAATGAGGTGTTTAGTGAAATAGATACAACAAATCTTCAGGTTTTGATTAGTAAAACATGCTGCTCACATTAATGCAGGCTCCGCTACAGGCCTTGGAAATCCTGCAACACATGTAATTATCAAAAAAGTTGGCCATGATTTAGGAGCAAAACAGTAAGTGGGGGTATTTATTTTCAATGTCAAGAAATCTAAAACAATAAATAATTTGCATAAAAAATGAGAGATTAATAATCAAGTGAAAAAAAATAGGCCTTTATAAGTATTCCAGGGAAGCAGTGGGGGGGGGGAAGCATGTCTGAAGGTGTTTTTTTTACATCTGCAACTGTCAATAATAAGATAAGAACTTTTTCACCATGGCTTGTTCGAATAATTAACCCCATTTCTTGAATCGTTTGTCGTGCGGAGGGACTGAATAACGTTATCGAGGTGACGTGCCGCTGTTGAGAGATGCTGCTCCTCAGCTCGGTTTGAGGCTGCAGCTTTGTCTCTCAGCTGGTCGTCCTGGTGCGCGGATCATCGTCACCTTGTCAGGTGTCTTTACTTGAGACAAAAAGGAGTGAACCCTCAGTGAGGTGCTTTAAAAACACAAGTTTAATCCCTGTTAATAGAAATATTTCAACATCCTCAGGCTCACGTGCAGGTATGAAAAGGACTTTAAAAAAACAATCCGCATGACTTTGGGATATGTTTACGTCATCACTCAACTTTCATCCAGTGTTCAATTAACAGACAAATTATTTATTGAGGAGGGATCATTTTCCACTTATTTTTTGAATAATAAAAACAGATGTAATAAAAAAACATTATTTACTGTGAAAACTGTCTTGGATAAGGCTAAACCGTTAAAAACACAACAACAGCAGAATGAATTGAATTTGACACCCTTTTATATCCTAATTTAAACGCTCGACCTTCACCCTAATTCGTCATTTATAATATTGTTCGATTCCTCCCTTTTCTATTTCTTTTTTTATGTACACATATAATTACGTACAACGGTAGAAGGTGAGAGAACAAACCACTTAAACCTACAATTTACTCAACAAGTCCCGCAGATAAGTGTAATTGCTTAGTTGAATATTCGACAACCTAATTTCAGTTGTCGACTCGCTGCCCTTGGGAAAGTCCTTTGAAGTGAAAGTGAGTTGGGGGGATTTCAGGAAAGTAATTAATTTCACCGCGCACGATTAGAAACACTTGAGACCTCCTCGGTAGTCTGTGTATTTACGGACAAATGCAACAATATCAGAAAATTAAAGAAGACGCTCTTTTGCCTTTCTTGTCGTCTGTTACACATTACTTTTCAATAGCAGTGACACCCATAGGGAGAGGGGGCAGGCTGGATAGACACCAAGGGTTTAAAGGGAGTGGGTGACACGGCATATTCAAGCTGGTTTGATTGTAAATGAAGCAAATGAAGAATAGAGGAAGAGACGATTAGCCGTGTAATGATACATCGTTTGAATGAGGGAGTGTGCTGCTTTCGATTGACACAAGTTGAGAATGAACTTCTACAGTGTGCTCCTGTCTGCTGCAGCTTTCACCAAGCCTTACTGCGTGTTAGTAAGAGGCTCCACTCGCAGGTATTTCAGGTGTATCCTTTGAAAGAGTAAAGAGATAATTTATTCAATTGAGCTAAACAATCAGGGGGGTGACACGCTGCTTATTAGAATAAATAAGCTTTAAATCAGAATATGAAGCTAATGAGGCCTAACAACACCGAGGTCACCGCTTTGATATATAAGGGGAAAAAAAACATCACAGTATAAATAAAGACTTATAATACAAGCTGCGTTTCCTCTTCAAACAGGGTGGGATTTTTTTTTTCAAACATCGCTCAGCAGTAGTCTGCGCTCTGTGGTGGTTGCAACCGCGCATGCGCACGCGGCACTTTCACTACCTGCCACACAAGCCTGTATTTCACATGGGGCAAGCGGGAGTTATCATCCACTTGCGTGAATGCTACTGCTGAGTGGTGGTTGACAGTCTCAGGCGACAAGAGGAAAACAAGACAGCGTTTTTTCTTCCCTCTTCCTCCTCCTCCTCTTCTTTGCTAAAGGCGTATCACTGATGGATGCCACCATGGAGCAGAAAACATAAAGTTGAGCACTCGTAAGGACGCTGCCACTTGTACTTTACAGAAGATATCAACGGTGGGATGAAGAATTAAAGTCTCAAGTGAGTAACGAAAGCAGGGCTTCAGTGCATGTGAATCTGTTATTTATGTAACTGTTATTTGAGAGTTTAAATGAGCATTGTGTGGATTTTGTTCTGATTTAAGGTTGTTTTTTTCCGTATTTATTATTTTCCATAGAGAGTTTGTGCCGACATGTCTAAACCAATGGATCACGTTAAACGCCCGATGAACGCCTTCATGGTCTGGTCCAGAGCCCAGCGCAGAAAAATGGCTCAGGAGAACCCCAAAATGCACAACTCCGAGATCAGCAAGAGACTAGGAGCGGAGTGGAAACTTCTCACAGAGTCTGAGAAGAGGCCATTCATCGACGAAGCTAAACGACTTCGCGCAATGCACATGAAGGAACACCCAGACTATAAATACAGACCGAGGCGGAAGCCCAAGACTCTCATGAAGAAAGATAAGTTTTCCTTCCCGGTGCCCTATAACCTGGGGGAGCACGACGCGCTCAAAGTGAGCGGCCTTTCCTCTGGAGTTCTTTCCGAGTCCATGCTTGGGCACCCGGACAAGGCTGCGGCGGCTGCAGCAGCGGCAGCAGCGCGGGTTTTCTTCAACCCGTCAATGTCCACGAACCCATACTCGTTTTTTGATCTGGGATCCAAGATGACCGAGCTTTCCCCGCCTTCGTTTTCGTACGCGTCTCCGTTGGGTTACCCTGGCGCCACGGCTTTCACCACCGGGACTGGCAGTGTAGGTGGCGGGACGCACACCCACACTCACACGCACCCTTCCCCGGGAAATCCAGGCTACATGATTCCTTGTAACTGTACGGGCTGGCCCTCTGCGGGACTCCAGCCGCCCTTAGCATACATCCTGCTGCCCGGGATGGGCAAACCTCAGCTTGAACCGTACCCTGCGTATGCTGCAGCGTTATGATAGGCCCGCTCTGGACTTCTTTAAGAAAACCCAATGTGAAAAGAAACAAACAAAAAAAAGCTATTCATGCAAGAGATTTATTATGCATGCACAAACTTGTACATGTGATGAAGTGCTCGTCGTCTCAGATATCACATGTGTATGTATATTGATTACTGCCTTTATCTAAGGTAATGCTTATTTAGAGAACTCTCTAATCTAATATTCCTCAACCATCAGCTCTCAGAGGAAAAGGACTAAAAAGGAGGAAACGTTACCAGTGCAGCTTGCACTATGTGACGACCCTCTTTTTCAAAGGTACACCATTTCATTTTGATCTTTTTGCAAGTTGCACCTGCTCGACTAACCTGTTGGACTGAGAGAGGGGGGGCAAACACAACAATCACAGGATCGCCACATCTCCTCAATGGGTTATAATCCACGGATCAAGGAGGATTGTCACAACATTTCTGCCCTCTTCAATGACTTTAAATGTGTACAGATAAAAATGACTCTAGTTTATTTGCCGTTATAGGCTTAGTGTTTGAGATAGGGCCAGCAGACTTAGGCCTATTTCCCTAGAAATCCGGTGTATATTTTGAGTTTTTAAACCGTTTTATAGATGTCTGTAATATTTATTGTTTAGTGAAATCTATGGTGACCCGGACAATTTTAAAAAGGACAAGACTAGTTCTGTGATATTTGCACTTGAAACATAGAGGATGTAATTTATTTTCAAGGTGATTTTCATTTCATGTGCATTGCAACTTCTCGGGTCTTCTCTCCCTTCCTGCAAATAGTAAAAAAAAAAAAAAAGTTTCAATTTCAATTGCACATTGAAGTTTATTCAAAGATCTTCTCTTGTTGCCTCACCCTCCCACTCGTACCATGTGCAGCAGAAAAAAAAACATTTTTAACTAACTCTTATGGAATTTGTATGTTTTGTGTTTTCTTTAACCTCCGTTCTGTACTTCAGCCTATTGCTACTGTTCACTTGTTGAGCCAAAAGGACTACAATAAAGCGTATTCGGATGAAACGGAAGGGAATCGCGGCTGTAGTTCTTGATGAGATGAACAAGATTGCTATCTTTTCTTTTTCTCCTGCAGTCCAGGTGAAGTGTAAGGTATCCTCTAAAGGCCGCTTTTGTCCGCGCTTTGAAAGGCATTACTTTGGTGGGGGTGTGTATGTGGGGGGAATCTAAATCAAGCCATTGTAATCAAGAGCCAAAACCTTATTTATCACAATTCTAATCGTGAATAGGGAGGAAGATAAAACTGTGAGGTAGGCTACTAGGAGCTTTTATGTTCCCATGAAGAAAAAGAAAAAAGGTCAAGAACAAGCTCGTCTTTGAGACTTTAAAACATCCTAAACTGAGTTTTTACGCTGAGGTATTCATTTAGCCAAAAGCAGCACCTGTCCTAAAAAGGCCAGATTCTCACGTGCACCTCGGTGCGCGTGCACATAACATTTCACATTTAACGTGTAATGCAGACCTCCGTTTTTTTAAGTAAACCGGCCCTGTTAGCTTGCACTGAGAGATTAATTCATAAGGATCAGAGCGATTATGCAAAACTAATTTGGACAGTCCAGGGATAATTATCTCCGTCACGGTTAATTAAACCCTTTCAGCATTCTGTTCTCCATTGTGACACCCCGATCACTCCTCTCCACGGAACTTCCTTCTTGGCCCCAAAAATAACGCGCAGAGTGACCTTGTGTTGCATTTACAGTCTGAATAAAAAGCTGTCAAAAACGGGTGGCGTTAACACTTCATTCTCAGCAAATTGAAAACGAAAATGAAGGCACCTGGAATTATTGCTTCCGTTTAAGGCCACATTTTTGTTTCATTGTTATTATTATAAATGATTTTTTTTTTTTTCAATGGGATAAACTTCAACAACTCACGGTAAATGAAAAAAAAATCTAAAAGTTCAGGTTAATATTGATATAATATTGGTAAAGATCACAACACACGGTCGTCGAGTCAGTTAAAGAAGACCTGCATGACGAGTTCAGTGGCCATTTCTTCCTTTTTCTTTAGTCTTTTTATTAAATTTTCTCTTAAAGAAAATGGGGGAAGAAAGCTGAATGAACTTTTTTTCAGCCCTGGGAGCGTTTAGACGGTCGAGGAGGTTTTGTGTGGGAACAAAACGTGGGTTGGGAGGTTTTGTGAGGGTGTTGTTTGTTGAAGTGGAGCTCAGCAAAAGCGGCTGCTCTCCCTCATTGTGATGAAAGCAATCAGTGGTATTTGGAAAACTGTTAGCATTGTGCACTTCTTCTGTGTCCGTTGTGGAGGATTTCTTTTCACAAGCTTTTTTTTTCAGCCGATCCAGCTGGCCGGAGTGAATAGCAGTGCAATGTGTACACGCTTTGTCCCTGCAAGCCCTTCAAGTAGCCCACAGTGAATGGAGTGAGTTGACACTGCATGACAGTGAAACAACATAATAAAAAATACATGAGCGCATGAATAGAAGCAGGCGCATAAATAAATAAAATGGGTGGCCAAAACTGGATAAACTGAATGACAAAACGGTGAAAGGGGAACAAAAAGATATTTAACACGCTAGATTAGCATTAGAATGCAATCTACAAGCCAGAACAATTGATGAATGGATTTACCGGCCAAGAAAGAAATGGACTAAATGCCTTTTGAATAGATGGCCTATGTTTTTTTTTCTTTCCAAGACGGGAACTGCATGTGAAAGGTGGACATACATGGATGGAAATAAGTGGGAGAAAGTTTTTCTTCATGAAATGTGTTTTCTTTTTCCTCAACTCTTGGTTCAAAGAGTTTCATTAAACCCTGGGCCAATAAATTCAGATTCATAGATTACAAGACACATTTTTTATTATCTTGGAAAATAATTGATCAAACAGCATGAATACCTTCACCCAGTCCTTAAAAAAAGGTGTTTGGCTTTTGCATCCAAAGGCCAAATGTGTAGTTCATATCAACAGCAACTCTTTTTATTCAAAGAAATGTTCAGAATCTTCTTAATGGTAAATAAGAACAAGTCTTATGAAGGATCTGATCCTGATGTAAAAAGCATCAAAAGGCAAAAAAAATGTAGACAATTACATCATTTTTAAATTCAATTCAATTAGAATTTAATAAAGATCAAATATAATTTAACATGTTAGTTTTTACTTACGGTAGATTACTGTAAAAAAAATGGAGCATTTTGATCATTATGCCCCATACTCCGAGTGTTTCAGATGAATCTAAATGTAGTGTTTACTTCAGATTAAGAGGTCCATCGACAAAAGCAATCTTTCTCTAAATTTCTCTTTGTGTTAAATTCAGAACAAACTGGCACTGATGCTTTAAAATGAAGTATTTAAACCTTTAAAATATTTAACAAGTTACAGAATACAGAGCAGGCCTTAAATATGCGTTGAAATGTTTTTAACTGAGTGCAACGACTCGAGTGATTTCTTCATGTGCCTATATATGCTTTTATAGATAAATAATAAAAAGTATCAATTTGCTTTTGTAAGAAATTTGAAATCCAAAGTAAACTAGTCTGAGTATTTACTGTAGCTAAAGTGACAGCGGATACAAAAGGTCTCAACAGCAGATTTAAAGCTGTGTCTTCCTCATGTTTTCATAAGCCGCCCGCCTGATGCCCTGATATCATTATGTCTTAGTGTTAAACCCTTTATGTGCCTTTAAGACATTTGTAGAAGTGAGATTAGGCAAATTAGCATACATATGTATCACCAGTTCAACCATGTTGACCTCAGAGGGATGTACAATGGTTTCCTCATCCCTAATTCGCCCCGGGCTGCCCCACCAGCATGTGGATTATCAGATAGCTTCAATGGCTGGAGATGGATCATTTCAGTATTTTTTTCTGACATGAATAATACATCAATATCAACTCTTTGAGGATATTTTTCCTCTATTTGTTTGCAGGAGTCTGCTTCTCGCTCACCTGGGATGTCGTAGCGTTTGTGTGCAACTCTGAGAGATACACAGCCAGAACCTCAAAGAGTCTGATCACTGACTTCTCCATCTCATTTTAGGCAAATCAAAGTGTGAAAAGTCTCTCCTCGAGCAATCTCCCCATCATCAGGTCGGGTCAAGAATGTCTATGAAGGCTGTGTGCCATATTACCTGTAATCTCCCGCTCTATTTCTCACTTCTCTATGCTCCCAGGAGGGAAAAAATGCCCAAAATTATCTTGCATTGCACCTTCTCCGCAACACACCCGACGTGGCAAATCAAAGCCTGACGTGTCACTGTGCCCAAGGTCACCAGGAGAAATGAGAAATGTGTGTGTGTACTGTACAGTCCATCCCTACAAACATGGCACACAGCCTCTGAAGTCTGAACATACCTTTAAGAAGTCCAAGTTTGTCTAATAGTACATAATGCAATAAGTCGATGGACCCCCGCCGGAGTTCTGGGGGGAACGCTTGGATTAGGTTGGGGGCAGATGGGTGGAGGGACGGAGGGGTGATGGGTTGTGTTGGGGGGGTAGGTGAGTTAATCGTGAGTTTTGCAGGTGGGACGAGTGAACTGGCTTTTAAAAAGGTTCTGCATTCAAGAAAACTAGCAACAAAATCACAGACCTAGCCTTACTTCTGAACACTTCCAGCACCAGTAGAATATTTATTTGATTTTTTTTTAAACCTGATGGTAGCTGATGTAATCATTGATTTTACATTTTTTACACACGCAAAATTTTGTAAAACGATGCCACGCAACAAAGCTTATTTGTCCCTGGCCTTTAAATTACATAAAAAAAGAGATGGTTGAAAACAAACTCAACAACATCACAGACAGAACTATACAACACAACCCAGTGAAACAGGATGCATTAGATCATACAGAACTGAGCCCTCTTCAAAAACAGTTCCATACTTCGATACAGCCATGTATCCAAAATAATTTGGAATCCAATAGTACAGTTCATACTCTTAATCTTTTGCATTCATTTCAGATGATTAACCCTTGATTGTCTCGGGCCCTTTCATTGGTAAAATTCATTTCCTTAATATTCAAATCTTTCCACTCGATTTATAAGAAATACTCTGATAACATGTTTTAGATTTGGGCTTCAGAGAGTAAACTTACACTTACAGGCAATAAGTCGTTCTCCTAACTGTTAAACATTGTTGTATTATAATGCTTGTGTATGTTGTGTTTATGTTCTTTTTGTGTAGCTCTCACCCTCACATATCATAATTGGTGTGTGTTCATAAACAGATTTGTCCATCACCTGTTAGGGTTTCTAGAATTGGAGTAATATTACAGATAGGGCAGATGTAAATGAGTTATATAAATTACATTCTACAGTATATCCCCTCTTGTAAAGTCTTAAACATTCACACACTTAACAGTGAGATCAGTGTCATCTAATAATTATAGTTAACATTTTGTACACATCTTTCTCTGTTGATGACAATTTCAGTGAACAAAGAGAAAAGCATTTCTTACATAAACCATGTATCCATAACCCGGATATCACTTTGATACTCTGCTACATATGAAGAAAAGAAAAGAAACATATTTAAAGGAAAACAAATTCTGATTTTCATACACACAGATAAAAGATAGAAGAAGAACAACTAGGACCGCCATCAGAGGGGATTGTGTAATACAGCAGAGATCCTCTGAGTTTGGTAAATCAGCCGTCTCTATCAGAGCTTCTCATTCTTTGGAACTCCATACCAAGTGAAATCAGAGAGTGCTGTAGATTTGCTGAATTTAATTCTAAGATGAAATCATTGCTCAAATCAACCCAATCATGTCCTCATCATCACACAGAAACACATGACGTTTCATGAACTCTGTTTGATAATGTTGTTGTGTATTGATGTGTTGTTTTAAAGATATACTGTATGTTGTGGTATAGCTTTTGTGCAGTGCTCTTAGCCTATTCAGGTTTGAATATAATTTGTGAATTTACTGTGGATTAATGTAATGCCATTGCTCAGTGGTTGTGTATTGTTGTGTAGATGTTGTTAGTGTTTGTTTTGTCTCCTAGGGACTACAGATGCAAATGAGCTTATAGCTAACTCTGGTACAGCTAATG